ACACAAAATCCAAAGCAGGTCCTGAGCTATCAGCACAGAGTCCAATGTGGGGCTCGAACTCATGAACTGTGAGATCATGACCTGAGCCAAAGTCAGACACTTAACTGACTGAGCCACCCAGGTGCCCCATGAGGTGCTTAAGTTTTAATTTTATTTAATTTTAACTAAAACTTAAATGGCTACCCAAGGCTGGTGGCTACCATTATGAACAGGGCAGATTCAAGGAAAACCAAAATCCATATTCTTTTACTCTTTCAGAGTTGCCTTAAAGAGGAGAAGGAACCGTCAGTCAATATGGAAGATGGGTGATACTCAGTGATCAGAAGGGGAAGCCAAGAGGCCTGAGGGGCACAAGGATGAAAACACACCTGAGGAGTCTTAGGGCCTGGACAGGAGTTGATGAAGTTCAAAGTGAGCTCTTTAAACAAAATCAGAATCTAAAAAAGGACCATTTTCTCCTTCCACATGTCTAGAAACTGTCCACTGGGAGCCCAGACCTTAGATGTCTGTCCTGGGCAGTGAGTAGTAACAGAACTGCCAGAGAAATGCGCATGCCCTATGCTCATCTGTAGCACTGAGGAATGTGGCAATAGAAAGACTGGGCTGAGAATCCAGTGTGAAAACTGGTTCTGGAATCCAAAGCTTGACAGAAGCAAATACCTCCGTAACCGCGGAGTCTCACAAACAAAGGCAACCCTGATGGAGATGAGCTCACAGACAGATGTTATAAAACACACACAGAAACTCCCTGCTGCAAGAGTGAGCAAAAGCCATAAGTGGGTGACAGGGATTCCTCAGCTGTGAATGTGAAAATGACTTTAAAATATGTAGGTTTAAGACATTCAAGATGCAAAAAGGTTAGAGAGGGAGAGAGCCAAAGCATAAGGGACTCTTAAAAACTGAGAACAAACTGAGGGTTGATGGGGGGTGGGAGGGAGGGAAGGGTGGGTGATGGGTATTGAGGAGGGCACCTTTTGGGATGAGCACTGGGTGTTGTATGGAAACCAATTTGACAATAAATTTCATCTTAAAAAAAATAATAATAAAAATAAAAAAAATTCAAGATACAAAAGCTATGTTCAAATTCATAAGACAAGAATAGGCCATTACATAAAGAATGGGAAAAACTGACCCTGAGCCAGAATGTTATTTCTAAATTCTATGGGAAGAAAAAAATAGCTGTTTGAATAAAAACCTAAGTAGATGGGATAAACAGCAGATTTTCTAAGAGTCGCCCATGAGCTCAGCCCAGATTCCCGCACAGGCCCTGGGCATGCCTGGGACATCCCCGCTCCCACACCTCCAGCCTTCCTGCTGCCTGTTCCACATGGTGACTGGGAGCGCTTACCTGGTTGCCTTCTGCCTCACTGCTTTCTGGCTCTTCACTTCTGTCTTCCAGAGACTGGGTTGTTCTTGTACATCCTTTTATGAGGTCTTTTCCCTGCCCATTTCGCCCTGGTAGGGAGTAACCTACCATTTCTGGATGCCTGGAGTTTCTGTGGCTCCTGAGGGCAGGGGCAGGCTGGTTAATGTCTCTGACTGCTTCCATAGAGTCCCACGGCCTGGGCTGGGAGCTGGGGTCTGGGTCTGAAGGGCACCTGGAAAGACTGCTGTCTGAGCAACCCAAGTTTAAGGATGCACTGAGAGTTTCTTGGTCTACTTCCTTCAATGCATCTTGAGGCTGTTTCTGGCAAGACCCTGAGGTAAAGGACACAGCCATGCTGCTGGGGTTGACGGTCAAGGTGCTGCTGCTGTTCTGCCGTGGGAATCTAGGAGAGGAGCTGCTATGCTCCGACTCGGTGGAGGAGTGGCTGCCAACAGAGACATCGGAGTGGCTGCGGCGGGCGTTGTAGGGCTTCAGGAAGGAGCTGTACACAAAGCCTTTGGTGACTACGGGGAGGAAAAAATCAACATGAAGAGCTTTTAGTGGAAGGGATAGCAGGCGGAGTCAACAGAGAAAAAACTGTGGTTGAAAAGCTAGGTCAAGAGGCGCCTGGGTAGCTCAGTCGGTTAAGCACCCGATTCTTGGTTTCGGCTCAGGTCACGATCTCGCGGTTTGTGAGATCAAGCCCTGCCCGAATAAGGCTCCACACTGCCATCGTGGAGCCTGCTTGGGATTCTCTTGGGATTCTCTCTCTCTCTGCCCCTCCCTGACTAGAGCTCGCTCTCACACATGCTTTTTTTAATCTTTATTTGTTTTTGAGAGAGACAGTACAAGGAGAGGGGCAGAGAGAGAGAGAGAGAGAGAGAGAGACAGAATCCGAAGGAGGATCCAGGCTCTGAGCTGTCAGCACAGATGCTATCTCTTTCAAATAAATAAAACTTTAAAAGAAGAAAAGAAAGCTAGGTCAATAGTGTGAGGGACAAAAGAAGATGCCTAGGGACAAAAAAGATGAGACATTCAATCCCAGGTCCGATGTGGGTGGAGACGCAACTCTGGCTGCCTGCCAGCGCGTTCTCGTTACAACCCCATAACAATGAGTGACAGGAGCCCTCGTGAAGACTCAAGAGGAAAGTATTAAAAATCACCACGTGTGTGAGAATGAACATATGAAGAGAATTTAACAGGATATCTACACCATGGAAACAAAGACTAGGAGAGACTTAACTAAGGATGTGTTCAGGTACACCAAGTACAGAAAAAGGGATTTTAAAAACCATCCTCATAGTGACAGAGCCCCTCAGAAAGGGCCTCCGGCTCTGTTTTCCATCTGGAGCACTTGAATCCCGCTTCTAGTTTGGGAACGTGGTGGAAATACTGTGAGAAGAGTCTCAAGTAGGAAGCGGTTTATAGGAGTTAGTATATACACAACACAGGCACAGCACATGTTCACTTTAATAAATTGCCTAAGATGATGACAGGGAGGGCCCTCGGCTAAAACTTTTATTATTTTGGGGGCGGGGGCGTGGGGAAGAAAGTTTTAATACAAGCGATCAGGTGCTTACAAAATTATTGGAAGGTCTAAAGGATCAGGGGCTAGGCTGGGCCTGGCTCCCGAAACCCTACTGCACACCTGCCCATACCAGCAGAACTTCTACCTCAATCACAGCAGGAATCCGGAATCAGGAAGATGCAACACTCTCCCTTCTGGACGGATTTCTGAATTTAAGTCTCCTCTGACTGCACCCAGTTGGTGAACCCAAGTCAGATACAAATCCCTACTGCAAGGAAGTCCTCAGCTAAAACTTTTAAACATAAAAGATTGAAATCCCTGATCCACAGAAACATTTTTTATGTTAAGAAAGAAGTATCTGTCAAGGCAGGGACCTGGAGAATGTCACCTCTGTGCGAGGAAGGGCCATCTCCGTCTTCATCTTCAATGTGTTTTCTGTACCTAAGAAAACTGCTGCCACCCTTGTTACATCTGCTGAATGATGGGAGGGGTCCCCGGGGCAGATGGTGAGGGGTAGAGGGTCTAACAACTGATCCTAATACTGTGGGCTTCCTGCCACCCCTCATCAGGATGGGGAAGAGAAAAGCCCCAAGGATGGAGCAGCCTCTTGAACAGCCTGGATCTTGACCAGGAGTCTTTCTATGAACCCGTCACCTGCTTCACCGGCCCATCACCCTCCATCCTTGTCCTTCCTTTCCCACTTCCAATCTCCATTCCTTGGGGAAAGCAGGAGTGGATGGAAGAGAGAAAATCCACAAAATACTTTCAAACTGAGAATGTCACAATTTTACATTCCAGTGGTGTGAACATAGATGTTTATTATATAGGCCCACAGTCCTTATTAAAATGCTTATTTAGGGGGTGCCTGGGTGGCTCAATTGGTTAAACATCTGACTCTTGATTTCAGCTCAGGTCATGATCTCTCAGTTACCGAGTTTGAGCCCCTTGTCGGGTTCCGCATGGACAGTGCAGAGCCTGTTTGGGATTCTCTCCCTCTCTCTCCACCCCTCCCTCCTCCTTTCTCGCTCTCTCAAAATAAATAAACTTATAAATAAAAATAAAATGTTGAGGGCCAGATATGTTTTGGAATTCAGACTTTTTGAATTTTGGAAAAGGACTCAAGTACATATACTGTCTATGACATCTCCAGCAGTATCTAGGTCAACACCTCATAATTAAACCAATTCATGTTTCTAAAATGTATGACTATTCGCATCAAAAGAGATGAGTAATGATTATATATAGGCTCACGTCACTTTGTTTGGATTTTGCTATCAAATAAGTTCAGATAAGGGAAGATTTTGGCAAATGAATTCTTGTTTTTCAGAGCGTTTGGATTTGTGGAATTGGGGAGAAAGGATATGGATCAGTATTACTCTTTTTACTTCTCCTTTAATTCTATTACAAGCCCTGCCCCACCACCACCCTGCTAGAAACAAACTATAAGCTATTTTTATTTTATTTATTTATTTATTTTTTTAATTTAATGTTTATTTATTTCTGAGAGAGAGAGAGAGACAGAGTGCGAGCAGGGGAGGGTCAGAGAGAGAGGGAGACATGAATCCGAAGCAGGCTCCAGTCTCTGAACTGTCAGCACAGAGCCCGACACGGGGCTTGAACCCACAAACTGTGAGATCATGACCTGAGCCGAAGTCAGACGCTTAACTGACTGAGCCACTCAGGCGCCCTATTTTTAAAGCCATTTTCAGGGCGCCTGGGTGGCTCAGTTGGTTGGGTGTCCGAGTTGGGCTCACGTCACGATCTCACAGTTCGTGAGTTAGAGCCCTGCGTCGGGCTCTGTGCTGACAGCTCGGAGCCTGAAGCCTGCTTCGGATTCTGTGTCTCCCTCTCTCTCGGCCCCTCCCCTGCTCACACTCTGTCTCTCTTGCTCTCAAAATTAAACACACAAAAAAATATTTAAAGGCATTCCCTAGTCAAGAGATAAAACTGTTTGTTATGGAACAAAAAACTCAAAAGGCAAACAAAAAAATCTTTTCCTACAGGTTTAAATTCACACACTCACAAAACACGTTTACAGAGCTTGGAAGAGGACAGCTTATTTTGTGGTTCGCTTAGAACAGGCTGAGAGGGCTCAGAACCGGTGGGCCGTAAGCACCACCCAGAAGAGCTGTAAAACATGGCGAGATCCTGCAAGGTAAGTAATGGAGCCCCCTCTGGAATTTGTAAAAACAAAAACAAAAACAAAGAAAGGTTTTGTTTCAGTAATGACTTGGGCCTTACACACTCTCAAGATGGACAGAACTTGTAAGGTTATTTTTCTCCCTTAATCAAATACTCTCACATTTTTTTCTGGCCAAGATAAGATTCGGGTATGGTCAAAAATAACTTGTTCCTCATTTACAGTTACAGTAATCTGAGGTCTAACACTCTTACCTCCATTGTCAATCAGCCAGCGGTTCTGACTGCCCATGGGGTCCTTCTTTTTGATCACGCCCACCAGGTCACCTTCCAGAAGTGAGACATCTAAGTCTTGAGCGGCATTGAAGTTCCGTTCTGCTTGGAAGAGTTTTTCAGGGGGATACCTTGCCAGAAGGGAGGCCCGAAGTTCTTCTGACTGTAGCATGTAGCTTGGCTTAAAAGGTAACACAAGAGATATGATCAACAAAAGCCCTCCCTGGCCATCATCCCAGCAGCCGTATTCAATCCTGACTCACAAGCTAAGTCTCAGAAATGGGGGCAGTGACGGCCAGCCACTCGCTACTCCCATCGGATGTTTTTGTGCCTGAGTCAGTCCGTGTGGCTGGGTAAAAATCATATTCTCATAGTTCATGGCTTAGTGCCTTTGTGGCTCTTAGGAAAAATGAACAGACTTAGTTCTACACCTGTTTATCTCGTGACAAAAAAATGCGATTAAAGTGCCACTTGGGGAGCCTGGCTGGCTCAGTACAGCATGCGACTCTTGACCTCAGAGTTGTGACTTCAAGCCCCATGCTAAGCATAGAGATTACTTAAAAATAAAATCTTAACCAAAAAAAAAAGGTGCCACCTAAAGAGTCAAAATATCTAAGGAGTATGACAAGGACTTCTTGTATTTTGCTGTATGAATCTGAACAACTGAGGCTATCCTCATCTTGAATTCCCCATCTGTAAAAACAATTACTATCCATACAAATTAGAAAAAAAAAAAATAGGGACATCTGGGTGGCTCAGTTGGTTAAGTGACAGACTCTTGATTTCAGCTCAGGTCCTGATCTCAAGGTTTGTAGGTTCAACCCACATTGGGCTCCACGCCCACAGTGTCAGCACAGAGCCTGCTTTGGATTCTCTCTCTCCCTCCCTCTTTCTGCCCGTACCCTGCTCTTTCTCTCTCTGAAAATAAATAAACTTTAAAAAAAAAAAAAGAAAGAAAAAGCAAAGGTAATAATAAATTTGATTCCCCCTTTTAAGGTAAATTAATGTCTATGAGATTATATGGAGCAAAATGTTGTAAACAGAGATCAGTAATCTTTTAGATTATGATCCCATATAATCTGGTGTGTTTGACCCTACTTTTCAAAATATGGAAAAACTGAGTTCTGAAGGACTATAACTCCAGGTAAAAAAGTGGTCAGCTGCTAACAGTTTGGCAGTGTATCAGATAATTACCTTTTCCAATATATGATCAAACACAGAGAAGCCTGGCAGAATTAACATACCCTTAAATCCGTTTCCTTAATTAATTGATCAAAGTATTAATATTAATCCTTTACAAACTCCATTCACTGTATAGACTAAGATCCTAGAGTGCTTTTCGGAGGGCATTTTGAAATACATATCGAGTGTGAAAAAATCATAGGTGGTCATGAGCTAGGACCAGTAGTGATGTTCTGGAAGAGTGAAGGAAGGAGCCCGTGACAGAGGAGAGAGCTCGAGGACCTTTATTCTGCACTATGTTTGAACTCCTATTACATCACTAATCTGTAGACGGAGCTGGGTCCATCAATAATAACAAGACAGCTTATTTGTACAGTGCTCACTATGTGCTAGGCATTTCTAAGTGCTTTCCATATATGATCTCACTTGAACCTTTTAATAACCCAATGATGGAAGTGTAATGGCCAGGCCTCAGAGACAAGAGGAAGTCACAGCTCGCACGGCCCGGACCCTACCCCTGCCGGAGTTGCCGCTCTCCACCTGTGCCCTCGCCAGCCCTCCACTCACCAGGCCCAGGAGCGGCTTCCGGGCCGACTGGCGGTCCACGGTTTTCCTCTCAAACGGCTTCCTGGCAGCCGGAAGCGACTCTGGGAAGAAGGTGAAAACCTGGAGCTGCTGCAGAACTCTGCTGTGCTCTTCGTGGAAGATGGCGATAAGGTTTCCCTCTCTGCCGGCGACTTTAAGTAACTGGAGTCCGTGGGAAGGGCAGGCGGAGAGAAAGAAGAGACAGCGGATGAAAGATCCCAGGACTGGCCAGGGTGCAGGGAGCATGGCTCCCACACCCAGAGCACACTGCTCCTGCGCCACCGCAGGCAGGCTCCCACAGGTAGGCCCCGCTGGCCAGCTCCTCCCGGATCCTCAGGGTGGAAAGCGCCGTTTAGAAGCAACAGGCACTGGCAAGGATGGAGAATTCCGAGCCTGACAAGCTTGACCTGATGATCTATTTCATCTACCTAGTTTGAATGATTTCTTAAGAAACCCAAATGTGCGTTCCCAGAAAAACCCCTGGAGAACCTCAGAGATTTCCCCACCGCTGGCAGGGGAGGGTGGGACACACGGATGGACGACAGCACACACTCACTGAAAGCAGTGGCTTCAGCTGCTCCAGCGCCTGGCGCACAAAGTCACAATGGGCCTCAGCGTAGCCGTGGATGCAGTTGGTGAAGAGGCCCTGGGCGTACTGGTGGAACTTGGGCAGCTCATCCAGCAGCTGTGCGTTCAGGGCCTCGTAGTTGTTCCGGGCCGACTGCAGCTCCTCCAGAGTCTTCTTGTCCTTTAACTTCTCTGCCCGCTCTGTGCAGTTGTAAAAGTCCAGAAGCTTATCAAAGCGCTTCTGCACCAGCTTATGGGGCCCCGTGAACATGCTCAGTAACTGGTTTAGGGGAGAGATGACAAGCCGCTCTGTCCTTTCCTTCTGCAGGGACAAGAAAAGTCACATCGCTCAGTTATTCCGTACCCGGTATTTGTGGGTTTTAATTGAGGTGTAACTGATACATTAGGTTCAGGTGTACAACGTGATAATTCAATATTTGGATATATTGCAAAATGATCACCAAAACAAATCCAGTTAACATCCATCACCACATATATTTGTTATTCTCTGAAATACCCTTAAGGCTGATTTGTTATATCCTGTACCACCCGCTTTGTGGCTAGCGCACGAGCTAAACCCACACAGATCCAATAGTGTTCTATTGATCCAACCCCAGATGGACTTGCACATTCTACAAAAATCTTCAATTTATAACCTTCATCCAATAATTTGCACATGCCAAACAGTTTGCAAAATATGCTAATCCCACCTCAGCTCCACAGCTAATGACAAATGCTAAGTCATACACATTAATGTGATGCTTGCATTACAACCTGGATGGGACAGCGCGTCTGGTATCACTTCTTACGTGCACACGTCTATACAGCTTGGATTTCACTGAAGGTGTAGTTTTGTTACATCAATCTGGGGTAGAGAAGCTTTCATACACCCATAATACCTTTTCTAATCATGACTACTTGGTAATGTCAATTTCTACTTCAAAAGATTTTGTCTTTAATTTTTTCTAGAGGGACAGACATGGAGGGGCAGGATATTGCCACGTAAAGAAAATAAACACGAGGGGCGCCTGGGTGGCTCAGTCAGTTAAGTGTCTGACTTTGG